AGAGAGAGAGAGAGAGAGAGAGAGAGAGAGAGAGAGAGAGAGAGAGAGAGAGAGAGCAAAGGATTCCCTTCACACGTATCAGAGGGCGCATGCAGGTAATCTGAAGGGTCCTCGCAGCAATTTAGCAAGGACCCTCCACCAAAATGGAGGCAGGCAGTGAATACGAAGTGGAGCATGAGCTGGCTGAATATGTACTCAGGATTCGTATTGAGGTCTGTGTTTCAGCAGTTATGGGTTGCTCACTTAGCTAGGCCCTCTTGGTCTCTGCACGTGATTCTCAGGGCTTGGCTGCAGTACTCACCAAATGTGCAGAATTAGAATGAATCTTCGGCTAGAACGTGGAATAATACGCCGCCATATGTTTTGTCTTTTGTGCATGTGGTGAGTAGAGGCCCTTAGGGCCACTGCACGTATTCCTGAGAAAAGAAAAGCGAGAAAGCAAAAGAAAAATGAGAAAACAGAGAATTAGTGACCCATTACTGTGATGCACAGACCTGAATTCGAATCCAGACTATATATTCTCGGCCCACGCAGACAAACTGGAAGTCTAATGTCTACCTTTGCTCCACGAGGGGTCCTCTAATTTGTAGGGGCCCTTCGGAAATGAGACTGGACACAATTAGGACGTGCTCACAGTGTTGGGGTATGGGGTGGCCCTAACTTTTTTCCCTCTTGCAGTTTGATTTTCATAAGTGAGGGGCATGTTTGGCCACCCCACCCTGTCCTTTCAATTTTTTTTTTTTTTTTATTTTTGTTTTGCTGATGCGCCGCACCACGTGCGCACGCGTGCATGCACGTGCGCTCTGCACCGCATGTGCCGCGACCCCGCACACGGGATGCGTCGCAAGTATGATTTAAATCCATTTCTTAACTATGTTCACTTGCTGTGTGTGTGTGTGTGTGTGTGTGTGTGTGTGTGTGTGTGTGTTTTCCCCGTACTCTTCAGTGTCTAATCAATATGATGTGAGTAGGAGATAGTCCGCTTTGGTCCTTGCTGCGTCCGTGGGTTCCTATGTGGATGCTGTTTTCTGCATGGCTTGCCGTGTTGTTGTGTGCGTACCTCACACCTGCCTGCCGGCCCACTTGCCTTTCTATATGCTGCCTACCTTCTTCACCTGAATAACGGACGGTCATTATAGTTGTATTTGGGGTATCTTTCAGTCTAAATACAGCAATAATGACCGTATGTTGTATTCGGGTGAAGTAGGTGGTACATACCATGCTGCTTGTCTTGCTGCTGTGTTGCTGTGCCCCCTCTTTTCCCACCTGTGTGCCTTTCCGCCCGCTTGAGGTGATATATGCCGCCTACCGTCTTCCCCCGAATAGAATGGATGGTCATTATCCCTGCATTGGGGGCGACTGCCAGTCTAGATCCAGCAATAACGACCATACGCTTTATTCGGGTGAAGAGGGTAGTGCACACCATGCTCCACGTTTGGCTGTGTTGTTGTGTGCCTGCCCACCTTCCCGCCTGCTCGCTTGCGAGCTTGAAGTTTCATATCATGACTAAATCCTAATTTCAAGATAAGTATGGAGCTCTGTGGATTAGTACCAGCTATGCCTTGCGATAAGTAGCCTTTTCCATGCTCCGTTGCACGCTTTGCTGTGTCTGCTGGCTGTTGACATGGCTTGAACCATGTTATGACTCTTAACCATTGTAAGCGAGGATTCTGCAGACTGTCGACGGTTCAGCCTGCTGACGAATCAGTGCAAGTCTGACCAAACAATCTGTCGTGTTTTCTCTCTGTGTGCATAGTTTGTGTGAAGTCCGTTAAGTGAGTGAGGGTGGGTGGGGGCTCATGAGGGGGAAGACCAAACTGTCAACCAAAAAAAAAAAAAGTCAAATAAACACGTTTTATAACTTGAAATTATAAGAAAAATAAGGAAACATTTCCCAAAAAAAGAAAAAAGAAAACAAAAAAGAAGTTGAAAGAAAAATATAGGGTTAGTTATTAAAAAACAAAACAAAATTGTCAATACTTATTGCTCATCGTCACTTGAAAGAAAAAAACACAGAAAAAAGGGAAAAATTGGATTGCAGCATTGTTAACCGCATTGTCAGAACACGGTAGCTTGAAAATGGACTGGTGGTTTAAGTTGAGAGTAAATTTCAAACAGATGTATTATGTATGTTGACTGTGAGCTGTATTTATTATCGATTTCACTTTCAAATTAAAAGCATGTTCATTTTCAAAGGGTGGAGGACCCAAAAAAAGAAGAAGGAAAAGAACTGATGAACGGAGCTGGAGCCAACTGGCTCTGTTGTCTGGTAACAAACAAACAAACAAACAAACAAACAAACAAACAAACAAATGAAACGGTTTTCACCTTTGCAGTAGCAGATGCAGATCCCAGGGCTCGATCCCTATACCTTGTCCTCGCCTGTGTACAGTACCAAGTCGACCCCTGTGTGTTTGAACCCGTGACCTGTGTCTTGGGAGTTGGCTGTTGTCTGTCATAGGTCTGTGTCGTTGTAGGGTTTTGAACCGTAGGTCTGACAAGTAGGGATCATAGTTGTGTAGAAGTCGTAGCTGCTACAGTCCTGAAAGGTCGAGGTCGTAGCTGCTACAGTCCCGAAAGGCCAAGTCTACAGACTTCCGGAAGGTCCAGAGGTGGCCTTTCGAGAGTCGCCGGAGTCAGGCCAGGCGCAAGTGGACAAGTGGGCAGTCCAACGTCGTCTAGTCAGCGGTACACAGTACCAGTCGCACTTTGTCCAGTCAACAAGTACCATGTGGGACAGTGTGCACCCTAGACCCGGTGGAAAGGAGCAGACCAGCGACATTGAAGTATAAATCAAGAGGCAGCGTTATTCATTCAGACTGCGAGCCGTGCGGAAGCGCTGCCAGAGCGACTTGTGCAAGGAGGTCTGCAGGTGCCTGAGGGAGAAGAGGGCTGCAAGGGAAACGAAGCCGCCATAGCCGCTAGTTAGTGAGTGAAGTAGAAAGCAGCCATAGCTGCTCTAGGTTAGAGATAGGCCACAGCGTGTGTGTGTATGAGTGTGCAGTGAGTTGTGTGCGTGTGAGGGAGATCCAGAGTAGCGTGCGTGTGAACATTTGCTGTGGATACAGTGTAGGAAGGGACGCCATAGCCATTTGAAGCGAGTTTGAATCTGAACTGTGTTCTCGGCCTTGATATCTCTGAGCTTTGTGTGGGCGCCTGGCGCCAGTGTGAATTGCCATCTGTTTTCATGCATGCTGAGTAAGAAAGAAGACGAGTCTGATTTCACAAACAAACAAACAAACAGGCAAAGAAGAAAAAAAAGAAAGAAGCCTCAGAAATGTCTTATGAGTTCGTAATGAAAAGGTTTTTACAGTTCACGGACTCGACATCCTGATGGTGAGTTACTAATTTTGGTAAGTTTCTGATTACTCATACTTGGTTGTTTCAGAGCTGGCATTGACGAAAAATTGGGCCGAAACACTACAAGACCAGTTCTTTACGACACAGATATTCCTATTTGGGCATATGGCTTGACTTGACAGTTGAGAGAGTACACTACATTAACTCAAACTTTCGAGTTCCAGCAGATGCATGTGCCATGTACATTGACTGTTCCCACTGAAGGTTGACTTTTGATTCTCTGAAGTTCACCGTTGACCTTGCATTCCAGTGACACATCAGCTGCTACATCCTCATCTTTTGCCAGAGGCATTAGTGAAAGTGCCGAATTCCGATCCCTCTCTGTCCTCCCCTTCTTTCGACGAAGATCACGAGAACAACCACGACGAAGACGAAGAAGACCAAAACGAACAAGAAAAAGAGGAAGAAGGAGGATAAGCAGAAGAGGGAGAAGGACGCGACAGCCGGATCCTCAGTTCTGGCCAGGGCCGTAAGTGAGAAGTTCCGAACGTTGACCACTGTTTTTTCAAACCCTTGTTTCGAAGAAGAGAACGAAGACGAACACGACGACGGCGACGACAACGAAGAAGAAGGCAAAGACAACGACGGCGGCACGGAAGAAGAAGAAAAAGGAGGAAGAGGAGGACAACGGCTCAAGGAGTAGGTTTCATCTCCGTCCATCGCTCGCACTCCTGAAGCTGGATGCTTGGAAGTTGGAAGACCGGAAAGGGTTTGAAAGGGTTTGAAAGGGTTTGAAAGGGTTTGAGAGAATCCGAAAAGGTTTACTAAAGGTTTGCGGAGAGGTTGAAAGAAAAAGCAGTAACTACTCATCCACTTGGGATCGAAGAGGACGGCGTGAAATTGAGGTAATTATTTCAATTCAGTTGTTAAATTATCAAATCATGGCTATGGTAGAAAGGCGGGGTGTGTCGTGGCGAGAGCGACCGGCCTGTCTGTGGAAGCAAAGAGGGGAGGAAGAGGAGGAGGAGGAGGAAGGGGAGGAGGAGGGCATAGATGCCAAGGAGATGGGGAGGTGTAGGGGATGGAGTGCCACGAGGTCTGTTATTTCTTGTCATCGTTGGTGCATTGCATACAGCATCTTGGGTATGCTTGGCGTTGCGGTTTTAGGAAAGCTGAGGAGTGTGGAGGCATCTGGCGGTCAGCCCGACGACTTCCCAGGGTGGCTGGGGGAAAGGTAAGGGACATCTGTTATACTTCTTTTTATTTTTATATTCGTTAAAACGGCCTGCTCCCAGACAATTTCCTTTTTTTTCATTTTTTCCCCCCTTAAAAAGATAAGCCTTTGTTTTTTTTTTTCCCATTCAATTCTTTCCAAAAAAACAGTTGTGAAGATGGACCTTTCTTGTTCTTGGACATGTTTTTTTTTGGGGGGTTGGTTTCAGTGGTTTGCCCTTTTTTTTTTTTTAAGGTGTACGGTCCCTACTAGGGAGTGTGATATGAGCAGCAGCCCTCTCTAGTACGCCCCGCTGGTCGCTCCATCTATTGCTGGGGACCTGCACCTGCTGGAAAACGGGTCCAGCATCCCATTAACAGATAATGATTACAGATGAGATTGAGAGAGGTCAGGCTTCGACTATGTGGTTTCGCCACTTTTTTATGCGGAGAACTTTCCTGAAATCCGATGTATATGTTCTTAAGCCACCAATACCCTGGAACCTCTTTCTCGATGTGAATTGTGCTGCACGGCAACGAAGATTACGGACATGTACGACACAATTTTTTTTCCCTTTTTGGCGTGTGCCGCCAGCCAAAGAGATTGGTAATTCGAATCGCCGAAAATAGTGGTTGTATGCAAATGTGTCAGGAGGAAATGGCTAGGATAGGGGGGCTAAGAGAAAAAGGGAGATGGAAGGTTTTTTTTTTTTTTTTTTTTTTTTTTGGAGATGAAGTTGCAGACAATGCTTGTCGTTATCCACACGGAAAGTGAAGAAAATAAATAAAATATCCTCATGAATGTGCAAGTTAACCTGTCCTGAGCGCTTGAATGAACCAGAGAGTCAGAGACCCCATTTGTGCTGTGTCTGCACTAAGGACAAATCTGATCGCAAAGCTGGCCATATGTAGGGCATGTCTGTCAAAGTCCCCTATTCATGCTACCTGTCTAAGTACCCATGAACCTGGTTGTAAAACTGACAATGTTCATGCTAAGTCATCGCAAACCTGAGACCAGTGAGGCCTGGTGCTTAGGGTGGATCCCCACTGTCACTAAACCTAGACTTAAACCAGTGTCTTCCCCTGAGTCTAATTTGAGCTGACAGTCACTGTATATGACTGCAAAATTGTGCCAAATACAATGGGAATAAGGTATTTGTTTGATTTCCCGTCGCCTCAAACCATGTGATTCATGTCACCTCAGGTTGTTTTTGGACTGGAGATACAATCACGAACAGTCACATTCAAGAGTAAATCACTCGTGAGCTCGTGAGCGCTAACAGTCGTAGAGGAGACAGGATAAACAACCTTAAGAGACGGTGAAGCAAATGAAACGTAACTCGTTGGTTCAACCGTCCATCCATATGTCGCCCAATCCGTCAGCAAACATCCCAGCTACTGTCAGCTAACACTGCTATAGTCGGGACTATAGCAATCATCGACGAACGATAGACCCAAGCGGTCGAAACAGCTGCTAGTCAATCCTAATATCGTCACGTCAACACAATCAAGTTGAATCAACTACAATTAATGGGACTAATTAAATTGGGTGGGCTTAAAAGAAAGTAGCCTTAAAAAAAAAAAAAGAACAAAACCGAAGTCAAACTGGGCCTGGTACTAGGGAAAGAGCGGTCCCTGGGCCCATGTGTAGGAAAAGCCTAAAATACAGGACCAAATACCAGTACAGGAGTTTGAAACCCGTAAGAACGAATACAACTACCAGGCAGCATCAAGATTCGGAACCTGTGCGAAACTCAAATGAGAACAGAGAATACCTACAACAGATAGCGCCAGGGTTCAAAGGGAGAAGAAAGAGAGAGAAGAAAAACGGTCCGGCAAGACCRATCCAGCATGAGAACGGAGAGAAACAGATACACCCAGCAACACGCTCCTTTACGCACACTCAAGCAACGAGATTCAAATCCGAACTGAGAATCCTGCTGAAAAATTGCCAACTCAACAGATATAACCCTGTCACGCGGCCTTTCCTCGACGCGTTTCGTCTGCCCCAACGGTGATGTACGAGAACAGAGAATACCAACAACAGATAGGGCCAGGGTTCATACCCCAACGGTACATACATCACACGAGTCTATCAGGAGCTACCCTGTCTGAGTACACCAGCTACCTCAGGTTGTGCCTTTTGTGTGTCCTTTCCCTTCCTGTTTTTTTTTTCTTTCCCCCTTTCCTGCTCCTCTTGTTTTTTAAACATCTACAGGAGGCCTGTTATTGGAGGTGATACGAGCAACCCCCTATAGCAGGTCTGCCGTGTAGATGGCACCAATCTATTGGTGGGGAGTTGCGCCTGCTGGAAACCAGGTCCATTGCCCCACTGCACAAGAATAGATGGGGGCTAATGTTGACATGTCTTGGATGAGCAGCAATGATTGCTCTCGCTAAAGAACTGACATTTCATTAAAAGTTCTAAAACTTTCGTTGAGGTACATCAGATGGACAAAGTGAGATAACCACTTTCTCACCCAATGAGCAATGACATTTTGACTAAGTCCACTTTCGTGAATTTAGGAAAAAATGTCAGTTTTCACGAAATGTCAGTTTAAGGGGATTGTGCCCAACAGACTTACAAGTGGAATTCTGCCCAGATTCTAATACCCCTACGGTCTTCCCCCGAATAGAACGTGCATACGGTCATTATAGCTGCATTTGGGGCAACTTTCAGTCTAGATCCCTAGACTACTAGTGTCACAAATCTAAGACAAATCTAAGATCCAGGCCGTCGTAGGTCCTACCGGTCCACATCGTCGAAAGACTGTAACAAATCTGAGATCTGGGCCGCTGGGCCCTACCGGACCGACGGCCTGGATCGATGCGGTGGTCGAAAGAATGTAACAAATCTGTGATCTGGGCTGTCGGGCCCTACGGGATGGACGGCGTGGATCGAGGCAGTCAAGATCTTAAGACAGCGCTTGAATCCAGGCTGTCGTCCCCATAGCTCAGGCCCAACGGCCCAGATCGCAGGCAACTTTGGGTACCTCACTCTGCCTTCGTCTGTTGCAACACGCCCCATGACAATCTTGGCCTCTTTTTGTTGAACGTCGTGCCTGCGCGTTCAAGCCGTAGTCCATGTTGGGTATAGCCTCCAGCCATGTTGTGTATAGTCTGCCTCACGCCGCCCGTGTTGTGTATAGCCTGCATGCAATCATGGATCGCCCTGCGCGGTGCCAACTCTTTCTCTCTCTCTCTCGCTCTTGCTCCGTGCCTGCGCATCCAAGCCCTAGTCTGTGGTAGGTATAGCCTCGACCTGTGTTGTGTATAGCCTGCCTCGCGCCGCCCGTGTTGGGTATCGCCTCGCGCCGTGTTGTGTATAGCCTGCATGCAGCCATGGATTGCCCTGCACGGCTCTGACTCTCTCTCTCTCTCTATATATATCTATCTATCTATCTATCTATCTATCTATCTATCTATCTATCTATCTATCTCGCTCTCTTTCACGCACACACACACACACTCACTCTGGGTGACGTGGTGAGTCATTATCCATCAGTCAAATGCATCTTGGGCAGGCTGTCGGGGTTTAACCTCCTGATGAGTCAGTGAAAGTCCGAGGAAACAGTTTGGCACAGTCATGCTTTTTGTGTGGAGTTGTGTATAGCGAACATGACAACACACACACACACACACACACACACACTCACACACACACACACACACATGCACACACACACTCTCTCTCTCTCCCTCTTACCTGTGGTTGGCCGTGAGCTGTGGTGGAGGATTGTCGACGCTTGAACGCTACACTCAGGCCAGTGGCGTTGCTCACTCCCCCCACCACTTCCACCCCTCCCCCGCCTTCGCTCCCTCTCCACTGCTCCTACCCCCCAGCTGCCACCGTCGCTTCTCCGCTCCTTCTCCGCTACCCTATTCCGCTACCCTGCGCCCCCCCCGCCTCCTGCACCTCTCTTCCTCCACTCCTCCGCCGCTGTAACCGGTTGCACCCACCCTCCTCCCCGATCTGCTACATCAACTCTCTAATCCGCCCATTCCGCCTCCCTCCTATTTACGGATCTCTGTTTGTTTGTTTGTTTGTTTGTTTGTTTGTTTGTTTGTTTGTTTGTTTGTTTGTTTGTTTGTTTGTTTGTGTGTGTAT